AAGGAAATATGTCTGTAGGGAAATATGCTGCCAAATTTTATGAGCTTATGAAATATTGGCCTCATTTCCAGCATGAAGATAGAGATGAAGATTTATATGCCTAGTTTGAGCATAACAGTTAGTGTATTTCAACTGACTAATCTGCCAACTTTAGTTAGCAAATGTAGAATTTTTGAGACAAATTCTAAGGGGAAGACAATGGGTACAAGAGTTGGAGGCCCAACGAGACAAGACTAGAGACCTTCAAGGTTCCAAAGGGGACCTTATCATGAAGCTAATAAGTTCCAATCAAGAGGGGTTATCTCTCGTGAAAGCAACAGTGGTGGTTCCAATGTCCTAAGAGGTTTAGTTAAATGTTTTAGATGTTAAGGACCTCATATAGTAAGAAATTGCCCACAACCACTATCTGCTTGTAGTATTTGTGGAAGAATAGGATATTTCGCAAATACTTGTTGGTCTACTCCTCAGAGAAGTGGAAGTGCCAGTAGAAGTAACAAACTTATATCCAGAGGCAGTAGTGGAGTAAAACCAACCACACAGGGCAAAGTGTTTGCTATAAGCAGGGTCAAAGCGTCAAAGTCAAATGAGCTCATCAGAGGTAAAAGTATAATAAAGGATAGACTTTTGAATATTTTGTTTGATTTTGGTGCTACTCATTCATTTATTTATGTGAATTGTGTGAAATGTCTTGGTTTGGCTGTATCTTCTATGTCGCATAATGTTGTTGTATCTACTCCTACTGACAAGCCTGTTGTAACCTCATCTGTGTGTTTGGGTTGTCCCATAATGATTTGTGGTAGGACTTTCGAAAAAGATTTGATTTGTTTACCACTTTTCCAACTGGATGTTATTATAAGAATAGATTGGTTGTCATCCAACCATGTTCTATTAGACTATAAAGAGAAAGTTTTGATTTCAGTGATGGTATCTTGAAAAACTTTGAGCCCTTGAGTGTGAGTGATTGGAGTAATGTGATCAATGCCAAAGCGTTTATGGTATTATTCTCATTAGAGGTTGAAAAGAGTGTGAAGAAGGAAAATATTCCAGTAGTGAAAGAATTTCTAGAAGTTTTTTCAAATGATGTAGCAGAATTACCATCAGAAAGAGAAATTGAATTTGCGATTGATCTCATTCCGAGAGCAAGTCTGATTTCTATAGCACCGTATAGAATATCACTTGTAAAATTGGCTGAAGTAAACAAGTAGGTAGAGGAATTATTGCAAAAACGATTTGTGAGACCGAGTGTATCGCCTTAAGGAGCACTGGTACTCTCAGTAAAGAAGAAGGATGAGAGTATGAGAATGTGCGTAGATTATCGTCAACTGAATAAGGTGACGATTAAGAACAATATCATATATTCCAGATTGATGATTTGATGAATCAATTACGGGGCGCTTCAGTATTTTCAAAAATTGATCTATAATCTTGTTATCATCAGATTCAAGTAAAGAATGAGGATATTCCTAAAACTACTTTTAGGAGTACCTAGTTATGCTCTTTGGTGTAACTAATGCCACAACCGTGTTCATGGACTACATGAATAGAATTTTTCATGAGTTCTTAGATAAGTTTGTGGTGGTATTTATTGACGATATCTTGATTTACTCCAAAACTCATGAAGAATATGCTAAGCATTTGATGATTGTTTTGCAAATATTGAATGAGAGGCAATTGTATGCCAATTTTTCAAAATGTGAATTCTGGCTTCCATAAATACAATTCCTGGAGCATGTAGTGTCAAAGGAAGAAATTATGGTAGATCCAACAAAGATAGAGACAGTAGCTCAATGGCCAAGGCCTACTACTCCCACAGAGATTCGTAGTTTTCTAGGATTGGCCGACTACTATAGGAAATTCATTGAGGAATTTTCTAAAATAGCATTTCCTTTAACGAAATTGACCAAAAAGGGAAAAGACTTTGAATGGACGAAAACATGTGAAGTTAGTTTTCAAAAGTTAAAGGAGAAGTTGACATCGGCTCCCGTGTTAATTTTTCCCAACCTAGAACAGAAATTTGAAGTGTATTATCATGCGTCGGGGCAAAGTCTTGGATGTGTTTTGATGCAGAATGGAAGAGTAGTTGCTTATACTTCAAGACAGTTGCGTCCTCACAAAGTTAACTACCCTGTCTATGATCTGGAGTTAGCTGCTGTGGTGTTTGCGCTCAAGATATGGAGATATTATCTCTATGGTGCAAGATTTAAAGTTTTTAGTGATCATAAGAGTCTAAAATATTTGTTTGATCAAAAGGAGTTGAATATGCAGCAACAAAGGTGGATAGAATTTCTAAAGGACTACAATTTTACGTTGTCCTATCACCCAGGAAAAGAAAATGTAGTTGCAAATGCCCTAAGTAGAAAGTCTTTGCACATTGCAGACATGATGGTAAAAGAGAAAGCATGATTTTGGGATGGAATTATGGAATGAATATGAGTATTGGATGGATTGATGTAAATAGTTATAAAGATACATTGGGGTATAGAGTCTAGAGATAATAAGGAAATCTTGAGGAAATGTAAGATGGTGAGCGACATTCATGATTGTGCACATATTATTATTGAGTGCGAATGCGCCACATGACCTTACAGTCGTTTCTCGACTAGACTCTTTACTATGCCTTTGCTAAGGGGGCTCATGATTGCATACGTTGTATCCGCATTACATGAGCTAACTGGAAACTATTTACATGATTGAGTAAGACCTCAAGAACTGTTAGAGGCATCTAATGACTGTGATTACAGTGTAGTGAAAGTGCGTATTTGAAAATAGAATGATAAGAATATGATAAAATTATGTGAATGTATATGTTAGAAAGAGAATAATTGATATGTGACATAAAGTGATGATTATTGCATATTTACAATTTTGAAATCAGTGATATGATGTAACTGTGTTATGTTTGAAAGGTAGAATAGTTGCTCACCCTTACACCATCTTGCAGGTAGTAAAGATGACAACCTATCCCATGCTGATTGATGTAGTAGATGTTTTTGCTAGTAGTAGATTAAACTATATTTTTAGTGAATATAGACGTGTAGTACATTTGTATTTTAGGGTACAATTTGAGGAAAATCAGGAGTATACATTAGAAGTAGTCTATAATTATGCAGTTCCTTTTGATTTTCCAATCAGTGGTCAAATTTATCAATCTCTTAATTTTTATCTATACCAAGACCTAATAGCTACACATTTGAGAGATTTCCTAATATAGAAATGGTGGCAGACTCTGGTAACACCTATCTTGGAGAAGATAATGAATTAACTGCTGAGGACTTAGCAGAAATTGAGATCTGAGATGATATAGATGAATAGTTTAAGGTTCTTAGTGTGTAAGAATGAGAATGAACTGCTGTAAAATTTGATATGTTATGAATAATGATATATAAATATTAATTTGTAATATATTTCATACAATTATCTTCTTAAATTCATTTTGTATATGAATTAACTATTATGAAAGGTTTTATCCCTATAAATTTTGATCAATCGTTTTAAGGAAAAGTTGGTTATTCTTTCTAAGATTTTATAAAAATAAATATATTTAAGATGGAAAAATATAAACAAAGTACTAAGGTTTCAGAGTTTGATGCAACATTTCTTCCCTTAAAACGTGTTGAAACTACTTATCATTTACATTGGAACTATTTGGCCATGATCGGATAAGAGGTTTTAGTTAGCTAGAGTTTGATGCATATTGTTTCATTTAATAACTTTTTAACATAAAAAATGAGATTTATGCATATCTTGAAAATTGAAGCGATTTTCATGTAATTTAAGCTTTATAAGTTCAGAATATTTTTATCCTCAATATGATAGAGTAGCAATGATTGATTCATTGATTCACAAATTTGTCTTTCTAATTTTTTAATTCTTAAAAAATTGAAAGTAGGTACGTAGTGAAATATTAACTTTCTTGTAGCAAATATCTTTAACTAATTTTTTTTTGTGGAAACAAAATTTTGAATATAAAACTATTTAAGTAAACTATTATTAAAATATATGGTATTTTATATTTCATTATAAGCAAAACACTCCTAAAATAGAATTTTCGTGGGTATGTTCACAACTTTAGTCTATTCAAATATTCTATTTCAAATAACTATGTTTATATAGTTTTTATTTGATCTTTTATTTTTAATTTATATTAAATTAGTCTCCCAATTTTTTGTTTTTTTTTTCAAAAACAACTATCTTATAAAACCAGTTTCATTTAGAAATATGATGCTTTGAATAACATGTAAATCATGAAATAAGTTAACAAATCTTTAATAGAACATACAAACAATTATTTTTGGAGATTAGATTATTTCTCTAAAAATGACGAAATAAAAAAAGTTGTAAATTTTTAAATAACTAAAACTTTATTTAAGCCAATTAACTATAATCAAAGATACTTAAACACATGATATTTCTAAATAATCAAAACACACGAAATTGCTTTCAATTCGCTCATTACTCGTAGAAAACTTGCTTTGACCAATAAAAGGATTAACAATGTGAGTCATTGAAATGTATAAAAGAAATAAAAATATGTTAAATTGCTTCTAGAAAATATTAGAAAGAATCCTTTTTTTTTTAAATAACATTAACATATTTCAAGAATTTAAACAATAACAATATTACTAGATTGATAATCGTTACCTTATAAAAAAAACATTAACATATTTCAAGAATTTAAAAAATAACAATATTACTAGATTGATAATCGTTACCTTATAAAAAAAAACATTCACCACAATAATATTAGTATCCTTGTACATTTTCTAAGACTTGTGTGAAAAACATTCACCTAATAATATTAGTATCCTTAATTAACGAGAATTAAGATTTTATTTATTTATTTTAGGTTAAAATACATATTTAGTTCTTCTAGTGAAAACTTATTTATAAATTAGTTTTTACACTAAAAATAATTGTTTTAATTTTTATACAAAATGAAGCATAATTAAGCATACAAAATGACAAGGATAATAAAACATTATTACCAGCAATGCTCTGTATCAACGCCTGTACTTGATAAGTTTAATTGCAACCATGACATAAACAGAGTCTATGAAATTGTTCAAGAACTTGAAATAAGCATGCCTCCAAGAACGCTTAATCAAGATTGAGCCGAAGATCCCCCAAAAGCCTATAACAAATCCAAATGTCATGCTAATGTAAAATCCACGAGTGAAGAGCGAATCATCTTTCTCTTGAATTGGTTCTTGCGGTGGTTCCCCTTCAACACACAATTTCTCAAGTGGCGCCCCACAAAGATCAAAATTATCTTCATAACTGGAAGCATTGAAACTTTGTAATTGTGTACCAGTTGGAATTGCTCCTCTTAGATGGTTATGCGACAAATCTAACATGGTGAGTCGATCAATTTGAGTAAGACTCCATGGAATTGAACCAACAAATTGGTTTCTTGATAAGTCAAGAAATTCAAGTGATGCAAGCTTTCCAATATTTGAAGGAATTTCTCCTCTCAAATTGTTTCTTGATAAATTCAATGAAATCAATGCAAATAAATCCTCTATTTCTGCTGGAATTTCTCCTGAGAAGTTGTTGCTAGAGAGATCAATGCTTTTTAAAAGGAAAAGCCCATAATTCGTGAACATTTCTTCCGCACCTTTCCACATTAAGATTGCATTCAAATCATAAGACGTATTTTCCGTCAGATAACTCGTGTTGACAAAATAATGTTGATGATGCTTCGAGGAAGTGTTTCGAGCCATTGAAGTGAAATTTTGGAAGCATTTAGGAATTTGTCCAGAGAAATTATTGAGTGAGAGATCCAAAAGTTGAATGCTTTTTAGATAACAAATTTGTAATGGCAAACTTCCAAAGAATTGATTCCTTGCTAAGATTAAAATTTGCAACACTTGCAACGTGCTTCCAATCCAAGTAGGGATAGGTCCTGATAATCCATTTTCTGCCATATCTATCATTACTAACTTTGTGCAACTTCTCAACGAGAAAGGAATTTCCTCTGTTAAGTTATTGTTTCTCAATAGCAGTGCTTGAAGTTGAAGAAGTGATCCTATTGAAGTAGGAATCTTTCCTGAAAATTTATTATGACTCAAATCTAGATAAACTAGTGACTTGAATTGGCTCCAACAATCTGGAATTTCTCCAGATAATTCATTATTTGAAAGGTCTAATTGGTATAAAGTATCGGCTACACCGCTGGCACATAAAAATGGAAGAGAATTTGAAAATGTATTGTTTGATAGATCGAGAATCGTTGAACGTCGTAGAAATGGTGGTATTGGACCTTCAAATTGATTCGATGCAAGAATTAGAGAATATCGAGGATTCGTTAGTGGAAAATTTGAAACTACACTTTTGAGATTGTTATGTGAAATATTCGTTGTCCTCCATACTTGCGATGCTAATTTAGCCCAAAACCAACGTGGAACAATATCTGATATTCCAGCATCAGAAATGTCAATACTTTGGTAGTTATTTTGTGTTTGCAACCATTTGGGAAATGCTGGACCTAGCGTGCAAGATCTCAATTGTATGTAGCTCAACTGAAATGGTGGGACCCAATTGTGGGTAAATGCCAAGGCCAATGAGTTATCAGACAAGTCCAATGAGACTAACTCAGACATATTAGCAAAGTGGGAATCAGTGATCACACCTTTCATAGAGTTTGAATTCAAAAATAAACTCCCAAGTTCTGTTGGAAATTTAACATCTTTAGGAATGGTCCCATTAAGCCTGTTTTCACTAGGATCCAATGCTTTCAAAGATGGGAGCAGTGGACGGAGGTTGGGCAGAGTGCCGTTGATTTGATTCATGCTTAGATATAATTCTTGCAATGAGTATCTAGCATATCTTGACAAGTGATGGATTATCGTGGGAAGCTCTTCACTCAAACTACTATTGGACAGGTCCAGTGATTGCAATGTACCTGCATTTTGAAATGAATTTGGAACTCCACTCTCTTTCTACAATTGATCGAATGATAATATGCTGCTTTTAGGTATCTTCACACCTAATCGATTCCCCGAGAGCCTAACTGTTTTGAATTTTAAAAACACTGAGAAGTCAGATATTGTGCCATTGATTTTGTTGCGCTCGAGATTTATTTCTGGCAGTGAATATCCAGAACACCCACAAAGTGACTAAATATCCCTTTTACTTCTTCGCTCAAACTATTATGAGAAAGGTCCAACGAATTCAAAGTACATGTGCTCCCAAATGATTCTGGAATTCCACCTTCTAAGGAGTTCGATCGGATCGACAAAGATTCCAACAGAGGGGGCAATTTGCTACCATCTGGTATTCCATTTAAATTATTTTCAGAAAGATCCAATGTTTTCAAGGTTGAAAACATTGAGAGGTCAGGCAACGTGCCATTGATTTTGTTTTCTCCCAGATCCAATATTTGCAGGGAGTATCTAGCACACCCAGATAAACGACGGATTATCACTGGGAGCTCTGTATTCAAATTGTTAGAAGACAGGTCCAATGAGCTCAAAACACATGCGTTCCCAAATGATTTTGGAATACCACCTTCCAAAGAGTTCGATTTGATCGACAAAGACTCTAACTGAGGGGGCAATTTGCTACCATTATGTATTCCATTTAAATTATTTTCGGAAAGATCCAATGTTTTCAAGGATGAGAACACTGAAAGGTCAGTTAAGGAGCCAATGATTTGATTATTGTTCAGGTCCAACTCTTGTAATGAATATCTAAGACAACCACCAGATAAATTACGAAAAATTGACGGAAGATCTTCAATTAAATTATTTTCTTGCATGTTCAAAGAACGCAAGGTGCATATATTCATGAAGGATTTCAGAAACCCATTCTTGAGTCCGTTACCTGAGAGGTCAAACCTCTCAAGCGAATTCTGATTATGCCAAAATGAGATGTGGAACCCTCTAAGTGGCTATAACTAAGGTCAAGCTCAATAAGATTTGAACTCATGTTTGACACCCACTGGAATATCATGGATGATGTGAAGGTGTTTCCAGAGAGATCAAGGATGGAAAGGGAAGTCGAAAAATTGAAGTTGGAAGGAGTCACTGAATGGAGAAAATTATCGGAAAGGTCACAAAAAGATAACCTTAATTCTCTTAGTTTCGGTAGCTTAACCGTCTGATTCGATGGGGAAGCCTCCAAGTGGTTACCACTGAGATCAAGCTCAGCAAGGTTAAAAGTAATGTTCGACACCCATGGGAATATGATGGATGGTGTGAAGTTGTTGTAAGAGAGATCCAAGACAGAAAGAGAAGTAGAAACATTGAATTTAGAAGGCCTCATTGAAAGGATAAAGCGGTCGGAAAGGCTACAATCAGATAAAGTTAGTTCTCTTAGTTTTGGAAGCTTGCCAATCATTTGCAGCCAATAATGAGAACCGTTGAGATTAGATATAGAGAGCAAGTAAAGATGGGTTAAAGAAGTGAGATTAGACAGCCACTGACCGCCGCCGTGATTCCCATCATCCATTTTGAGAGCACCGTAATATCCATCAAGATAAAGCTTTTGCAAGTTGAACAGGTTCCCAAGCTGAGATGGTATATTTCCTTCTAAAGGATTGTCACTGAGATCAAGATGCTGCAACATGGAGAGATTTCCAAGTTGATAAGGGATTGAACCCTCCAAAGAATTCGACGCAAGATTTAAGTATTTCAAATGTGAGAGAGACCCAAGTTGACTTGGAATTTTTCCACCAAAATAAGAATGTGAGAGATCAAGGGATCTCAAGTTGTGAAGAGAAGAGAAAAACTCTGGGATATGACTCTCCTGAAAATAATTCCAGCTGAGGTTCAAATGCTGTAATTGTTGCAACTCCATCAATGACTTGTGGATCTCACCGCGGAGTGAATATTCTTCATTGTCATAATCTCCGTGAAGGTCGAGCATGAGTACGTGGGCAGTGAGGTTGCTGCAACGAATTCCCCTCCATTGGCAACAATCTGGAGTGGTCCATGATGAGAGCATGTTGGAGTCATCCACGAGTCTAGACTTGAATTGAAGGAGTGCTTCCCTCTCTCTTTGAATGCATCTAATTGGCTGTTTGGCAGAGACAATCTGCAACACCAAACACAGCATTATTAATATGCCTTTCATCATTTTGAAGCAAACTGAATTCATAGTCATCACAATTTAAATGATCGATCAAATTCACTGAATAGAGAAATAGATTGATTCTGGTAAGGATTTAGCAATGCCAACAGCTATATATATAATGCTCCGCGGCACTGCCAACTCAGCATGCATTAGCCAGCTATATATAACATTTCTTTATAAATTATATCTTTTATATATAACATCTCTACGGAGTGTCTTATTATATTTTTCTTCGCTTATTTTTGTTTTAATTTTATCGTTACAACATTGTTAATAATAAAATATTTTCATAAAAATTAAAATATAAGTTTTTTTTAAGTATAATACTAAATTGTAAAAGTATTAAATATAAACATAAAATATTTATTTAATTAATTATAATTTTATAAAATACACAACACTGAACTTAATTTAAAAAGACTTATATTATAACTTACTTTTATTTTTCTAACTCTTATATTTTTATTAATAAAATTTTTTAATATGTAACTATCTCAACTTATATATAATATATTTTATTTTATTTTTTAATTATAATAAAAAAAATTATATATCAATTATTTTTAATATTTTATTAATTATAATTATAATTTTTTATTGATCTATATTTTTATCAAATTAATATTTTTTTATATTAATAAATACATATAATTTAAATTTTATATTAATAAATATATATAATTTATCCATAAGTGATAATCTTTTAATTAAATATGTGAATTTTTAATCTTTTAAAAGTTTATAATTTTTTATTTAATATTTATTTTTAATTTTTTCTAAATAATTTTATTAAAAAATTATTTTATTAAAGTATACATTTAATTCTTATAGTTAATATTTATTTACAAATTAGTGTTTATAAGAAATATCATTTTCATGATTTTGGAACAAAATTGAATTCATTATTGGCATTATGGGGTTATATATCATCTGGAAGACGTTGAAGAGAAAGAAAAGTCTGTGAAAATAATTACTATAAAAATCAATAACTTTTAATTACATTACCGATTATAATTGAATGAGTAAAAATAAATTTTAAAAGGACTAATTCTTAAATTACTAACTTTAAAAAATCACTTCTTAACAAAAATATTTGTAAGGACTAATCACAAAAAGACCTCTATTTATAAGGACTAAAAATATAATTAAGTCAAAAATTAATCATATTATTCTTTAATTTTATACTCAATTCTCTTTATGTAAACATCTGCATAATTTTCTATTCTTATCGAAACATATCAAAAGTTATAGGTATGTTTTTTTCCTATAATTATTTATAAATGAGACAAAGCATCCTTTTAATACATTTATGTTCATTTCTGTATTTTGTTGTTGGAAATATTTTTTATACTTACATTTTAAGAAAATTAAGTTTAATATATTTATGTGTATAGGATAAAGAGTCTGACATGAAAATCTCGTAATTATTTTCAGAACCAAATAAATACAATTTATAATTAAAGCTCTAAACAAAACCATTTCAAGAAATATTATGATATTACTAGTAAATCTTGTTCAGAGATAATTGAAGATTTACACATTTGATATTTTTGGAATAATAGATATACTGTGAATATTGGTTGTTACCAAACTTTAAGATAGATGACTGTATTGAAATTGTACGATTAAGTTGAGTCCAGAAGTTGTAACACCCTCAATTATATTGCTCTTGTGTAGGAAAATAAGAATTTGGATAAGAAGGTATCTTGCTCAAGCAAGATAAATCTCGCTTAAGCGAGGTAGGAATTTCTAGAAAAGAACATTCTGAAACTCTCTCGTTCAAGCGAAATGAATCTCGCTCAAGCGAAATGAGATAAAGTTGTCCCAACTGTCCTCTCGCTCAGACGAGAAAAGGGTCTCGCTCAGGTTGGGAGCATCTCGCCCAAGCGAGATAGAGCTCGCATAGGCGAGGAGTCGCAAGAAGGATATGATGCGATTATGTGTCAAATACACTGATTAGTGCGATTATGATATATGCGTTGTAATACACCGACGGGTGATATTAAAACACATTTGTTGTAATACATCAATTTATGTGTTTGTAACATATGTATTAGAATAGTATAAAGTGTTGTGCCACGATTGAGATATAGTATATAGATAGTTCAAGGATACACTAAGGGTATAGGGTCTAAAGTTTATTATGAAAATATGCAGAAATAAGAGTAGTAAATGCGGTTTACTGATGTGTACACGATGTAAAAGTGGGATGCATTTACAAGCCTCACAATCATTTCTTCATTGAACTCCTAACTATACCTTTGCTTGGAAGGTTGTGAATGCACACATTGTATCCGTGTGTGGTTTAGCTTACCATCGACTATCTATGCTGTGTAAGTCCTTTGCAACTAGTGAGAGTGTGTTGGCAGCAATTTAGGGGCTCGAGAGTACATTGAATATTGTTGAATGATGAAATATTCAGATTTAAAATGGATATAGTGGCATGACGTTATGTATTGAGTAATGATAGTTGGTCAAGTGTGAAATGATGTGTTTTCTTGTTTTATCATTGTATGTTTGACTAAAAAGTTAAGTATTTGATGGAATTGATGTCAATAGATTAACTATCTTTAAGTAACAAAAGATATTGTATTACACGTGCGAATCAGATGAATTAAGAATGCATGTACTTTGTATGTGAATTGATGAATATTTTGGAATCAAAGTGATTAAAGTGACATAAATGAGGAACGAAGTGGCCATAGTAATAAAGGAGAAATAGATGTCAATTGACTGAGTGATAAATAATGTATATGAATAAATTTGTTAAAAATGGAATGTTCCTAATTTATTAGATGTTCATTTCAAAAATACTCTTTGGATTGATATGATTACTTTATAAATTTAGAGTTTTAGTGGGCAAGGGATGCTCACCCTTACAACTATTTTTCAGGTAAAGAAGGTTGATCCGTTCTAAGGTTATACTCGCAAGGAATGGTAGGAAGGGAACTGTTTGGCAGAGTTTAATTTATTTAAGGGAATTGTAAAGACATTATTGAATAAGTTCTATTCAAAGTTAATTACCCCATATAATCATATATTGATGGAAGTTTTAATTTGATAGTGAAGTACTTTGATAAATTTACTGTGAAGGATGATTGAAAAATATGTATATAATATTTAGTGACTAATTGTTAATATAGCATTTCATCTCTTCTTTAAATGGTTAATTAAAAGTTTAATTAAATGTGTATGTATGAAGTTCTAAAATTCCAAATTTTAGTAATTCAAATCTTACTTATACAAGGATTTATTATATACTTATTTATCTTTCACTTATTTTACTTAATTAATTGAGGATATTTCTATATTTATATAGAAGAAATTATTTAAATAAATATGAGATGTTACATTCTTAATGATATTCTAAACTTATTTATATACAATGTGAACCAAATAATTTGCTAGATGTAAATTTGATTTTTATTTATCACTTTAAAGTCTTGAATTTATTCCTTTGAAAGTTTTAAATACTTTCGAAACTTATAAAATTTTCATAAGAGGAATGTAAGTTTTAAGAACAAAAATTCTTCTATTTTTCTCTTTTGCTATAAAAATTTATTTTTTTAAATAAGAAATTAAGGATGTTACATCTTTTATTTTTAATTTATTTTAAATAAGTCTCTTAATTTATTTTCTTATATTACCTTTCTATTAATAATTTTAAAAAAATTATTATTTGTTTATATAACATTTTACATGTTTTTATATAATATAATATAGAAGATGACTTCATATTTATATTTTTGTTTTTTTAATTCCTAGATTATAATTTCAAAATTTATAATTTTATAAATCAAAATTTTATTATGAAATAGCAACCGAGGTTGATTCAAATGGTAAGCGACTCAGTATCGTTTAAGTAAGTTCTCGAGTTTGAGTTCTTGTGTATGTAAAAAATCTCTAACAGTAAAAAAAATTATTATAAAATACAATGATTTGAAGGCTTTTTAATTTAAATAATGATTTTTTTAAAAAAATTACTAGATTATAACTTTTTCAAAACTATTTATCTGTTTAGAGTGATTTTGGTCACATGTCATAAGTTTCGCCATTACCATTGGTGAAACTTTTATTTTTAAATTTTAAAAATAAATTTCGCTAGTAAAAATGTGAAATTTATAATTTTTTTACTTTTTAAATTAAGTTTTGCGATAAAAATTGTGAAACTTGTAAATTTTTTACACATGTCAAAATATTATAAATTTTATAATTATAATAAAATTATTTATTTAAAAAATAAAAATTTTGTAAGATTGATGGCGAAACTAGTTAAAAAATTTAAAAAAAAATACTAACTGCTAAATTCAAATATTGCGTTGCTAAAGGACTTTGATCATTTTATTAAGAAAGATCAGTCTTCTTCAACTAATTCTTTTCTTTAATTTCTGATAAGTCTGTAATTAGGCCCTATTTTACAGCCTATATATTTATATTTAACCTTTATTTTATTTGGGTTTTATACTAATTTATATATTAATTTGTAGTTTAGTATAAACAGGCCGCAAGTGGATGTTGGGTGCATTTTAGACCCAAATTGATGGAAGATTAGAGCTTCACAATAGTCAGCATGCCCAGACCCTTTTAACAAGTACGGGGGTGCTTCGAGTCCATGTACGGTCGTGCTTAAGGCATTGCACGATTGTGCTCATCTGCGGAAAGCTCAATTATGAAGAGTCTTTAGGATTTTTAAACCCTATTAAAGAGAGAGACCTCAGGCACCGTTTGACATCTAGTCTTTTGCTTTTAGATACACTTCTTATCTCCTTTCTCTTGCACAGATCCTTGGCACATGCTTGGCAAGAGCCCAGTCTAGTTTGTTTTTCTTTATGGCTTTGTTTATAATTGTTTTAGTTCTTTTCTTTAGCATAAGTAACTAAGTCTACAGCTAGGGCTGTGAGAACTATTGTTCATGAATTTATGAAATTTTGATGTTTGAATCTAAATTTGATTTCTGTTGTGATTAGATTTTATCCTATTAT